AGGCAGGGATTCCAAGTGCAAATTAATGATCAATGATGTCAGTGCTAAAGACCTGATCCAATCCCTAGTCCATAACAGAACTCCCTATTGACTTCAGTAAAGGACTAAATGTTTTATTCTATGACCCACTGAATAGTCATCAGCCCCCACTGAGGGTACAGTGGAGTGTCAGCAATCCAAAAAGTACAAGTAAAGAGGGATAAATTTGATCTGGTCACAGATAGGCCAGACTACAGACATTTCAGGATACAGAATAGGTGTCTAAAATTGTGTGAGTGGGAGCACCTCCTTTTCATCCCTCTGAGAAGGAAACAATCAGGCAGAATCTGGAAGTCCAAACAAAGTTTCCACTATTCCTCAGGGTGACTAACTTAGGTTAGCCCAGTATTGTTTTTCCCCCTTCTAATTCTCAGTATTTGTTTAATTCCTACAATAATATAAGCACCCTCTAGTGGCCAAGGTGTGCAGAAATCAATCAAAATTAGTTTAGCCTAGTCAGTGGCAAAACTACTCTACTTTCAAAGATGGAGTTTGTTTTCCCCTCCAGCCAACCCCCCAGCCCCAAAGTGCTCCCAACAGCTAGTTCAGCAGTATCCCCATTTTACAGATGGAGAAAACCAAGTGAGGAATTAACTAACCAAGGTCAAACAGCAATTATAACTCAGGAGTTGCCTATTCCGACCACACTTATGTCACAGACTTGGAAGGCAATAGGAGCTATAATTTGACTAAAAATTATAACTTCAGTCGCTAGGTAGCAGAAATAAGAATAAGTGTCCAGAACATGGACATTCTTTATTATCCAAATATATTGTGCATTTAACACGATAAACAGCTTTTTAAAAGCAACAAAGTGTAATATACACTGTATTAACCATTACAACGTGGCCCATTTTCCCACACTGCTATGCATGTGATTCTCAAGATGTTTATATGACCTTCAGCATCAAGAAAATGCTACTTTCATCAAGTTTATATGCTAAATGTTAATTTTCTAAAGTTTTTGTGACTACACAGAGGCAGTTTGTTCAAATGTTAACACATTTTATAGGTCTATCAAAAGAATGGCACTTCATGCAACATAAAACTGACAGTGCTAAAAGCATCTGTATACATTTTCCATCTCTTTGTTATACTGCTTTGCATTTTCCATCAGGGCAGTTCATACAACTTCTTACTCCTTGTGAATGGCAAAACAAAAACCCCCCACACAAAAGGCTGATCAGACCCAGTTCAGCTGAATATAAACTAGATCAAAAGGAAAGTTCAGTCAAACATGATAAAAAGAAGAGTTAGGACAATATTAGCTACTTAAAAAGAGTAAATTTAAAACAGATCCTTACCTTGTATACCCAACAATTTTTTGGTTAAAATTCCCATTGTTGCGGTCATTGGTGGATTTTCCATCGGTGATGACTCTTATGTAAGGTGCCAATGGCCTCTTATTTCTTTCAGCTAGATGAATCTTGGGTGTTAGTTTTAACAATGGTAAACACAAACATTTTAAACGTGTTTTAAGCTGACAGATTCTTTAATATGTAACTGGAAGTTATGACTCCTCTTGGGGTTGGAAGGCAAAGGAAAAATATAATCTCACAGGTAGTGCACTCAGTGCCATATAACATAGGAAAATACTTTAATTTTTGGAGAATACAACTGCCATTGTTTAAAAATAGAATAACATTACATCATGTAAAGCAACATCTAGATCAGTGATAATCAGACCTCAATGGTTCAGAAGCCAAATAAGCAATCAACATTACCCAAAAGAAGCACAGTAGTGTGAATTCATGGTTGAATTTACTATACATTTCTCACAACAAAATGACTGACCAAGTATTATTTTATCAACTACAATTAATAACATAGTAAAAGTATCCTGATTGGTTAACAATTAAATCATACAGTTTTAATATGATAGAATCTTAGAACTGGAAGGGACCTCAAGAGGTCATCTAGTCCAGTTCCCTGCACTCAAGGCAGGATTAAGTATTATCTATTCCATCCCTGACAGGTGTTTGTCCAACCTGCTCTTAAAAATCTCCAATGATGGAGATTCCACCACCTCCCTAGGCAATTTATTCCAGTGCTTAACCACTCTGACAGTTAGGAAGTTTTTCCTAATGTCTAACCTAAACCACCCTTGCTGCAATTTAAGCCCATTGTTTCTTGTCTTATCTTCAGAGGTTAAGAACAATTTTTCTCCCTCCTCCTCCTAACAAGCTTTTACGTACTTGGGGTATGTCTTCACTTACCGGAGGTTCCGGCGGCAGGCAATTGATGTTCTGGGATCGATTTATCGCGTCTGGTTAAGACACGATAAATCGATCCCGGAAGTGCTCGCCGTCGACGCCAGTACTCCAGCTCACCGAGAGGAGTACGCGGCATCGACGGGGGAGCCTTCCTGCTGCGTCTGGACCCGCTTTAAGTTCGGACTAAGGTACTTCGAATTCAGCTACGTTATTAACGTAGCTGAATTTGCGTACCTTAGTCCGAAGTGGGGACCAGGCCTTGGAAAACAGAGAGGACATAGCAGTCTTCTCTTCTCCAGACTAAACAAACCCAATTTTTTCAATCTTCCCTCATAGGTCATGTTTTCTAGACCTTTAATCATTTTTGTTGCTCTTCTATGGACTTTCTCCAATTTGTCCACATCTTTTCTGAAACGTGCCCCCAGAACTGGACACAATACTCCAGTTGAGGCCCAATCAGCGTGGAGTAGAGAGGAAGAATTACTTCCTGTGTCTTGCTTACAATACTCCTGCTAATACATCCGAGAATGATATTTGCTTTTTTTGCAACAGCGTTAAACTGTTAACTCATATTTAGCTTGTAAACCTCTCTGACCCTCAGGTCCCTTTTCACAATACTCCTTCCTAGGCAGTCATTTCCCATTTTGAAGGTGTGCAATTGATTGTTCCTTCTTAAGTGGAGTACTTTGCATTTGTCCTTATTGAATTTCATCCTATTTACTTCAGAACATTTCTCGAATTTGTCCAGATCATTTTGAATTTTAATCCTATCCTCCAAAGCACTTGCAACCCCTCCTAGCTTGGTATCGTCCGCAAACTTTATAAGTGTACTCTCTATGCTAGTTTCTAAATCATTGATGAAGACATTGAACAGAACCAGACCCAATGCTGCAAAGAGCTGCAGGAGACACATTAAAGAGCCACTTGCGGCTCATGAGCCTCAGTCCGAGTATCACTGATCTAGATGTTGCACATGCTGCACTACTGGTAGCAACAAATTATTCCCATCCAGGGTATGGTTTGAAATTCCAGGATAATTCAGTAAGACTCTGGAAAAGGTAGTAGCTTCAGTATATTTACCGAGAGAGAGATAAAGTACAAAGTGAAAATTGGATGCCATGGTATTCTTTCCCTGTATAACAGCAAGAAGCAGGTGCCAACAAGGTATGAAAATACAGGATAAAACTTGATTCAACAGGTTGAGAAAGCAGAAGTAGGAGCCGGATATACATATATACTACTTCACTAGTATTCCATGAGTTTAAGGGGAGTGGAACTATAAGATATAAATTATGTTAGCTCTGCTAGATTTTAAGTTAAAACATGAATAGAAAATATTTGCTAATTATAATTCCCCTTGCAAACAGTTTTGGTTTTCATCATACTGTCTGATAAGTAGGATTGTTAAACTATCAAATATGAGGTTAAGGAATAAGATTTCCACAGCAATAGAATATTTGCAACATTTTGTGGCACAGCAAAGGAATGCTAGGGTTCCTGCAATTTACCAAAAGTCTCAATGGTATTTTATTTGAATCATTTATTGTGTATTTATTTATGCTTTGAAATTTATGTGTATTCTGCAAAATGTCAGTAAGGTAACAATAGGAACAGGCTTAGATGTTCAGCTTTGATTAAAAACAAACAAACAAACAAACAAACAAAAACCCACCACACATCTGTAAGAACCTCATTAAGTGGGTGATATGCAGGGGCCTGAATGTTCTGGCAGCAGAAATTCCTTGCTTTAATGGGCCACATTGGGTTGAAGAACTCAGTACTACCAGAAAACTCAAGCTTCACTGAGAAGGAGCTTCTGCTCTCTCTCATCTACTATCACTACAATAAGGAAAGGTATTTTAATTAAGGGGTTTATAGTATAGTTTCCTATTTTCATAGGTTTACAATTTGCCCATACAAATTTGCTCTCAGATTAGACTAGACTTGCCAGAATTCTTAAAATTGTTCTACATCAGCGTATTCCATTTACATAGTGCTTTTAAACAGACAATCTAAAGCATTTTTCAGATACCTTCATTAAGGTGTCATTTTACTGATACACTCTTAACAGTGGCTCACAATAAGCCAGATTATGATTCCCCCCTTTATGGTCCACTGATGAGCAGTCACTCACATAAGTAGTAACATTACCTGGGTAGTCTCATCAATTAACTGCTCACTCACAGATGTAGAGAGGTCATGATTTGGCCCTGTATCATCACCATACAGCATTTCAATTGCTTTGCAAAACAGATTTACTGTTTATTTTTATGTGCAGTTAGATAGCATCATAGCTCAGAAGTATATTGAGGCTGTAGGTCAAATACCTTCCATGTTCATACCTGTAACATTCCACTTCTTGCTTTGCGTAACAAAGTGTTTTATTTAAAAAACTGAGCAGTTAACCTAGACTTTTCACAGTAAACTGCAGGAGCCAGTTGCTTTTGTGTTAGGATAATACCCATTTTATAGTTCATGGTCAGTTTCCACATCTAGCCTTCATTTAGCAAATCCTGACTAGTAATTATTTTCCCACATAGAGATTGTGATCAAAGTCACAGTTTAATTAAGACAAGCAGGTCCTTCAGTAATCATCTAGGAGTGAAAGAAGAAGTCTGTTGCCCAACCCATTGAAAGAAGGTATTTCTACTCTCCCATTCTGGTTCCAGTTTGGTGAAAGAAACTTTCACCAAAAAGCTAAGCTACTGAGTATCCATTCATAGTTATAAACAAATAGGATAGGAAAATGAAGTTTCCACTACAATATAGTAACAAACATGCCACTTGGTGATTGATAAAAGATCAAATCAGCAAGGCTTTATGTACGCTTTCTGGACTCTTTCCCACGGGGCATGAAATCTCCTCTGACCTCTGCACTCCTACCCACATTGTGCCTAGGATATTTCGAAGCATGAAGAAAAAAAGGCAAAAATAAACCACTACTGGAAGACAAGGTGATAGCAAAGAATACATTTAACTTGGAATTATGAGCATCCTAAAAAGGTGAGACAAAAAAGTCCCTTTCCCCTTTTTGTACTCTGCCAGCATGCAACTGCTAGAAACAGACAAATGTCAACACACTGTACCCATGGCAATACACAGTTCAACTTCTAACTTTTCAACACACAGAAAGTTAAGCTAGTTTCTCTATATTTTAAGGTATTTGCACACTTTACTTTTGTAGCAATAGTGCCAATAGTGGATGGAAGCATTTCCTGTTAGTGATCAGCAGAATTAAGGGTATCCTTAAACCAAATAGCCCAACCATAAGTATTGGAGAATATCAGAGCTGGCAAAGACATGAGAGGTGGTGGGAAGAAAACAAATTGGAAGAGGAAAGATTAAGGATTCCTAGTCAACTTGTTCTCAGTGTAAGAGAAATTAAACTGGGAACTACTTGACTAGATGTAAGGATTCTGAGCTCATTTAACTGAGTTTACATGGGTAACTCCTGTGGGGGGAGTCAGTCCAGGTTTATACCAGCATGTGCCAGAGCAGAACCCAATCCTTTAGGCGCTCTTTGCTAACTTACTTAAGTTTTATGGCATGCAATCTGATCACAAAGTTGCCTTTTCACTCCAAACAAGATATAATCCAGTTGGCTTTGATGTTAGTTATAGAGAAAAGAAAATTACTCCGGTTTCTCGGATTTCAGGCCATTTAATTTCATATGAAACCTATTTAATGTTCTAGTCCTTTCCTCCTCCTCCTCCGGGCTAACGCTGGAGTGTCTTTAGAGAGGTGCCTCCATCTCCAGCAACAGGTCAGTCCAGACACTCAGGCCGCAGACTTCGAAGTCTCCATCCTGGATCTTCAGGTTTTTCAGAGAAGCCAGGGCAGCCTCTCGGAGCGGGTCAGGTCCCCTCATGAAGCAGCCGAAGCGCTCCCGCAGCTCTTCCCAGGAGAACTCGTCCTCACTAGGGCAGCGGCTGCTGGCCCACTGGCCGCGCAGGGGATCGTAGCGCAAGCGGCTGCCCCAACTGGTAAGGAGATGTAAGTAAGGGGTGCCCAGCTGGGGGTATCGGGCAGAAAGGGCAACGAGGAGGGAGCCCGGGAGGAGGCGGCAGAAAGCGGAGAGCCGGCCTGGGTCCCCGAGCAGCCAGGAGAGCACCGCCGCAGCCGGCCTGGGCCCCTCCCTGTGCTCTGCCCAGCTGGCCCCCTCTCTGCCAGCGTTGTCCCCGGCCTGCTCCAGCAGCAGCGCCGCCAGCACCCGGTAGACCCTAGGCCCGGGCAGATGCTCCAGGACACTCGCCGGTCCCTGCTCCTCCTCGTCTTCCTGCAGCCGGGACAGCAGCAGCTGGGCCTCGGTCCGCAGCGACGGCTCCAGCTCCTCAGGGCGCGCCGGGGCTGGGCTGGGCGACGGCAGCAGCTGGACGGCGGCCCTGCGCCGGGCCAGGAGGCCGAGGCTGCAGGGCCCCGGGGTAGCCTGGCCGCTGGGCGGCAGCAGCAAGCTCCGCAGGAGGCGGTGGCAGGCGGCGGGCGGCAGCGCCCGGTTGCCCAGCAGCGCTAGGCCCAGCAGCTCCGGGCAGCGCCCCAGGTGTCCGAAGCCTAACGGCGGCCCCGGCTGCCCTCGGCGGAGTCGCTGCCCCAGGGCGGCCCGGAGCCGGGGCTGGGCGCGGAAGCGGCCGTGCAGGTGCTGGAAGTAGCGGCCCCACTGCAGGGCTCTATCCAGGGTTGACGGGTCCCAGTCCCGGACCTGCCCCGAGCGGGACACGGCCAGGAGCCCGGGCAGCTGCTCCACCTGCCACAACAGCGTCTCCATGGCGACGGCTCGCCTGGGCCCCCCGCGCTTCCCGCCGCAAGTTTGAGCAGCAGCTCTGCCTTCCGCCCCCGAGGTAGCCCAATCGGAACCCGCTTGAGGTGAACTCTGCAATCCCATTGGCTGATGGTGATGTCAGTCCCCTATCAATTGACTTCCGCTTCCCACAGATCAATGGGGGAAGGACTCGGGAGTTAGGGAGTGTGGCTGGGTCAAAGCTAGGTAGAGCGGCAAGAGTGGTGGAGGGCGGGGTGACGGTTTCGGTTTATCCAGCCTGGGTGCAGCGCTGCTAGGAGCACGCCTCTCGCTAGCCAGCCCGCAGTCACACTCCCGCGTGCAGTATAGATACACATGCCCTTCTCAGGCATCTTCCAACAGCCCCTGCTGAGTGACCTGTTCTGGAGTTAGAGGCACAGCTCCCTTTAAGCAGAGTGCAACTGCTGTGAATGCAACACTAAACTAAAATATGAACACACCGCTGAAGTATAAGGGTGCACTGGTGTACAATATAAAATAATCCCCACAATTACAGCAGGGTTCTAACACTAACTTTTACGTATATACATTTTATTCCCCACAGTCACCAGCGTTTGAACCCATAGTCTTCACATCCACAACTACACAGTGGTTCCAGCTCTAGTGGTTAGCCCTGCAGCATTTGTTTGGTTTGGTTTTTTTAAGTCCCTATTTGCTATAATCCTGTGATTAAGTGCGGCTCAGCTTTCATTTTTCAAAGTTTCTAGCTCTTACAGTTGTGGAGAAAAATGTTGAAAATGTCATCAGAATGCACTCTAAAGACTCAAAAAAACCAAAATAAGTAATGATCCCCAATTGTTTTTAAATCATGATGAGGTTTACACAGTCATGATTTTGGGCAGGCTGATTCATGATTGAGGGTTATCAATACAAATCAGAGACCTCTCCTTTTCACCTATAGGAATAATAGAGAAATAGCACCCGCACTCGTGCTGTTACCCACTATGTCTCTCCAGGGTTGGTCTGGACCACAATACACACATTGCAAGACGGTTACACAACTATCTGTGATACTGCAGTGGAATGCCAGGCATCAGGTTGGTTTCTATTCCTGGTTCTGGTACCAGATTGTGGTCTAGTAGTTACAGTCAGCATATCCAAATGTAGTAATTCTCCTATTTGGGTCATCTCTGGGGACAGAGCCCTCACCCTCTGTATAAAAGCATAAGTCTCTACTACTTGAGCTAAAGAGCCAGATATATTAGCATGCAAGCAGCAGCAGTCATAAATCTCTATATTTTGTCTACCCAATAGAGAATGATCCAGAGTCACTCTATTAGTATAGGTTACACTGGCACTTAATTTGGCATGTTCCTTCTGAAAGGCTGGCAAAGTGGATGAGAGTTGGCTGGAAATTTATCACATGCTCATGAAACCACCTACAGCAGGGGTCAAAATTGTGAGAGTTCACAGCACTGTTTGTCCAGTTCCAAGCCCCCACTCATCTACATGGCATATGCTTACTTCCATGGGTCCTGGTGCTAGGACCAGCTTCCCCTGTTATTTGCATTATTTATCTTTAGCAATTCTTCTTTAGCTCAAACGGGAGGGGCCTATGCTTTTGTAATAGAATCATCAATTTTATCTTCACTGCTGCTATGAAGCTCTGAATTATGGTGTAGAGCACTAGTGTACAACTTCTCAGCTTAAGGGCCGCATATATCGTTTCAGGAAGGTCAATGCTCTGTGGCAAGTTTCTGTCTTGTTCTCCACCCTTTGTACCACTCAACTGATATAAAGGGAGCACAAACCACCTGGAAGTTCCCAGCAGGCCTGCAGATAGCATAGCAAGCCCTGACTCCTGGAAGCTCCTATCACAAAGGGGTACGTTAGGAGCAGAAAGGGGAAGCAGCTGGAGGGTACTGCATTTTGATTGTCCCTAGACAGTGTTTGGTCCCTAAGAGACTGTTTGCAGTGGTGCACATTAGAACATCTCCACAAGCTGCTCTAATACGGACTGAAGCAGAGAATTGGGGAACCATAAACGGTTGTTGGTTCTCAGTTTCACCTGTTTTTCCCCTCTCCTAGACTACCTTAAATAGTTCTGTACAAAAGAGGAGCCATCCTTTCCTGAGTACTACTCTAGACTCACTCAGAGCCAGTGAAGCTCCTGTCCTCACTAAGCCCCCCACTGCCAGGGCTATTCTCTCTTCCCTCCTCTGCAGTAAAGAACAGAGAGCAAATGTTCATCACTGCCAGCTCAGAACTATTCTTGGAACTGCTGAGGAAGATAGTTGGGGTTTAGTGCCCCTAATCTCTTCCCCATCCTGATGGGCTGACTTAAAGAAAAATAAAGAAGGTTCTTATTGGTGTGTTTAACAGTGAGGGTACTTAACCACTGGAACAACTTATGAAAGGATGAGGTAGATTACCCATCAGTAGGCATGTTTAAAATCAAGACTGAGGTCTTTCTAAAAGATTATGGGTTCAATGGGGGTATTCCTGGGTGAAGTTTTATGGCCTGTGTTAGCCATGGGATCAAACTAGATAGAATGAGTCCTTCAATCCTTTAAAAAATAATAATAAAATAAATAAAACACCACACACACCCACTGAAAGCACTTGAGTTTAAATGTCTTAGAATAGATTTTCAGTTCAGAATTAACTGCATATTCTCTCCTCAGGGCCACAGGTCCCTAGATTTCCACAATACTATTGTAATGTATTTGTTGCTGAGTGGACTCAATGTTGGCATATACCCTTATGGCTAGGCATGGCCTAGCAGACTCTTTTCAGCAAGCACCCTGCCAACAGCTGCTCTAGCTCTCTAAGGATCTACCTCTTCTCATGACTCACCCTCCAGCCAGCTCACATTTGGTCTTACTCCTTCTAAGGTAAACTAAGGAACCACTAAACTAAACTCAGACATAACTCTTTGCTCCTACCCAGGCTCTGCAGCATTTTTCTCCCACTGTTGTGCAGAGCAACACCTCCTAGAGCTTTCTCCCTGGAGGAGAAGCTTTGCACTCAGTATTCCTTCCCCCTTCTCATAGTGTTTCCACATCTTTTCCAGTGATCCAGTAGGGGGATACAGGCATGCTCACCCACTGTCCTATCCATCTGGGGTGCCATTCAGGGACCCTGTGGTAAGCAGCTAAGGTCTGCTCCTTCAGAGGCCTCACTATCACCCTAGACTTCTTCCTACCTTGGCCTTCCTTAGTTAGTCTCTCCCTAGGCCTTTTTTCCATTCTCTAGGATTCAAAGAAGGATTACTCCTTCCAGCCCTGTTTATATTTGTGCTTCTTCCCTTTATGTTCACCACCCAGATCATCCCTCAGCTAGGCTTCATCTTCAGTTGGGCCTGGCTCACCCTTCAGGTGCAACCAGCTACACTAATTGTCCCCTCTCTCCAATTAACTATTTCATTACAGGTGTGTGGTACACACCTATCACAATTGCTATTAACATTAATAATAGTTTATGTTTACATATCATCTTTTATTCCAAAAGATTCAAAAGCATATTATACTTGATTTATTGCTGAAATGCAGCATTTCACAGGTGGAATGTGTCAACCATTCAATAGTACACAGCAACAAATGCAACACAACAGTTTAAGATATGATGCGGGGAATACTGCATTCAGTTGAAACTACAGGTGGAAGTTTAGACAGTCAGAAAACAGTTATGTGAATTGGAATTTGGTCAGGATGTCACTACAAAAGTTTTTTTTCTCCTGCTCTCCTTAATCGATTAGTCTCATTAGAGTTGATATGGCAACCTCCATTTTTTCATGTTCTCTGTATCTGCCTATCTGTATCTCCTCCTACTGTATTTTCCACTGCATGCATTGATGAAGTGGGATTTAGCCAGCGAAAGCTTATGCTCAAATAAATTTGTTAGTCTCTAAGGTGCCACAAGTACACCTCGTTCTTTTACTGATACAGATTAACATGGCTACCACTCTGAAACCTGTATTAACACAAGCTCTCTTGCAATAGGTGTTATGGTCACTAAAGTGAGCAATTTAATTGAATTCTAAGCCCATGTATATTTTAATGAAGGATTTATTTTGGAGATTTGTATGCACCACAGTAGAAATAAATGAGAAATTTCTCTTCAGGAATTTCTCATAGGAAATCTCTGAGGGTTTCTGATCTTAGTCTTATTGGATGAAATGTACATGTTTATATAACATAAATGTGCCTGTAAATTTCACTTGAAAGAAATCAAATAATCACATTTGCAGCACCAGGAACTTAACAAAAACAGGCTGTGAACATATGACTGCACTGGACAAAGCCCTAAGAAATCTGGAACATTCCTGCATGTAAAGGGAAATGGATGGGATTTCTAACAGGCCTCTGTAGAGCTGATTGAAAAATGGAATTTCCAGCCTATGCAAAATTCTGGTATTTTAACATTTGATTTTGTCCCAAACTGGGATCAAAAGTCAAAATACTGACATTTTAAATTGAAATGAAACATTTGGACATTCCTGAAATGAAATATTTTGTTTCAGTTTGTTGATCCAAAACTAAACTTTTTTTCCTGTCGGGTTTTTCATGTCCTGTTTTTTAATTCTGTGTCTGCCTGAGGTGTCATGGTGTTTCATGAGATTCCAGTTGCTAATTCCACCACAGGAAAGACTCCCATGCTGCAACATGGTGGATCAAACTCAGGACAGATCATGGTGCATTATGGGAGATGTAGTCTGTTTGGATTTCACTAATATCAGGTGAGCACCAAGAAGAGCCCCCAAAACAATCAGTAGATGTTTAGCCATTCCACATGCTTTCCTCTGATGTTGTAAAATGAACTTGGAATCTGAATTATCAAAGCTAAGACAATTGTACTCCAAGAGATACCTGTGCAAGCTTCTTAGGCAAAGTTAGATGAAATGACAATACTTATACGTTGCCATGTTAATTTCATGAGAGGATGCTGACAAAGAGGTGCCTTAGCTTGTTTGTTAGTATCCATGTATGGGTATTAATTTACAACAGGTCAGTTTGATAAAATTTGTCTTGACATCATGGGAAATCTATGGAGTTGGGGCTCATGTTGGTTTTCTAATAAAAATGGGTGCCCCCAAGCCAACTCTTTTTCC